ATATCAACTCTAGCTGAGTAACCTCCCGAATCCAGGGACCTCAGTACCTGCAGATATGGGGACCTGCTAACTAACAATACCTCTTCGGTTTTAAATAATGTTTTAAGTGTGTTAAACTTCAAACACATTGATATGAAGACAGTATTTGTATTATTACTATTTCTTTTTTTATTCAAGTTCAGAACAGCATAGTTGGATTCTCTGGAATAGTGATCAAGGTTTTCTCTGCCATGCTCTTTTACTTGTAAATTCCAGGCAGGATACGGCACCCCTTTCATTTGATTTAATAAAATAAGTAGGGCTATTTATAAATTTAGCGTTTGATTTACATAACCTATTCTCCTTAAATTTCCCAAATATTACTTCTGTCGAGCGCATCCGAGGTAATCACAATAAAAAATATTTTTAACACAACGTATGTTCCTTTATCTACGTCAGTGAGTTAAGAAGCTCTTAACTCACGCATTTTGAGTGACTTAAGAGCTTCTTACTCACGCATTTTCATTACCGCACTTCTTGTTTAGATGACTACCAAAGAGAAAAAAATATTTTGTAAAACATTTATTTTGCACTAAATACAAATAAACTGTTCTATTGATAATAAATATAAAAACATGAAAACTTATTTATTATAAATGTTAATTCTACAGTTTGAACAATCTTTCACGTAAATGCCTGATGACGCATATACATATATTCATTTTAATAGATATCATAGTATAGTAAACGCCACTAATGTTTGGGAGTGGTATTTACTAAAATGGTCATACACACATTAAAATTTTATTTGGGATTGATATATTTTACTTCTGAACTGTTACCACTGAATATCTGAATATGTTTTTCTTTCTTTATAACGAAATTTATTATAACGAGATGGGTTTGCAAATATCTAAAAGCTTGCATTATTAAAGCATTTTCCAGGTATTCGACATTGTTATAGTTGCCATCATATTTCATATTTTAAAATTCCTCAAAATCAGAAATCGAGAACGGACAAATCTAGGAATCAGGGAGGCCATCATATGTGTCCATTGGTTCCAATTCATTGATTTGAGAAATAATAATTTAACAAAATTCTATTATTTACAAAGTTGTTAGCGAAAGCCCCTCTTTCTGAAAGTATATTTTACGTAAATTAGCTAAAGGAATATCTAAAAGTTCCGGTACGATAACTTCAAAGATTTACAAATAGCGGTAGAAAGTTAAGTTTTCCTAATATATAAAAAATTATTAGTGGCCCCTAAAATATAACAAGAGACAGATAGCAGTATACTTTTACATACATCAATTCTTTATTTTCTGTGATTATCAATCATGGCCTACTAATAAATATGATCTTTTAATAAAAACTTTTAAATATTGCAGTAAATAGTGAAAATAAATATAGAGTGATATATATTTTTGAGAAGCTTATGACAAGCCAGATCATAGAATTTATAAATATACAGGGTGTTCCATTTAAAAAAAACATAACTTTAGTTCATATATTCGAAAATATTATTTTCGTAGAATAACAGACTACGCCACTGTATTCTTCGTAAAAAGTTCTACAATAAACAGTTTTCACCTTCTCGATACCTTTCACAATAACAGAGATACGGGGGGTGTCCCAAATTGCAAAATTTTCAAAAAGACCTTGTAGATCAGAAACAAAGAGGGCTATGAAAATTTTGTTTACAGCATCTTTCGTTTGACAAAAAAGGGGGACAGATTTGTGCAAACCGCATTCTTCTATCTTGACTAATAACGGGGATACCGTATGATTTCAACTAAAATGGGACACCCTGTACATTACATTTTCTTGGCAGTCGTTGACAGTCATTCGCAACAGACTTACGGCAGTCGACTATAATTATATGGTAGTCCCAGGCAGTCTTCTTCACAGCCAATGGTAGTAAGTCTCTTAACAGTAACGTGATATTTTGGCAGTACGTGTACATTTTTTATCCAAGTGGGACACCCCTCGCCTCATACCTTCTTATAGAAAATAGAAATGTATATCATAGTTTCAAAAGTTATGAATATTAACAAAATAATATTAACACGTTAAACGCCATGGCGCATGGCGGGCCCTAGGGACCGCCAAAGGAAGTACCCTCTACGCCACGGAGGTCCCCAGGGACCGCTCGGTATTCGGTTCGAATTATTTGTTCCACAAACCAGCGGTCCTTGTTTAAGCCTGTTTGAGTGTGATGGGCGGACCTCTCTGGCTTGCGCGGCATGTATACCTATCCGAACTTTTGATTTGAAAAAAAATTAGATTTTTTTTGAATTTCAAATGTTGAAATGGAGAAAAAAAAATAATAAAAACTCAAAAATAAATCATAAAAACAAAATTACAGATATTTTTATGATGTTTGTTTGATCGTAAACCAGTATATTATAACAAAATTACTTGGCCCAGAGAGCATTTTTTAAACATATTGTCTGGCGCTTAACGTGTTAAGACATACTGTAGGGGTTGGATTCTTTGGTATTACAACAAAATAAAACACTAATTCATCCCCATACACGAAAACGCTTTACTTTTGATACTGGACGCGCGTTTCGCTAACCATGTTAGCACAGAATATCTAGCTGCGTAGCTAGATATTCTGTGATGTTAGCATCATGAGCAGATGATTAAGCAGTGTTAATGAAGTGTTTAGATGTATTGTTGTGAATTAGTATGTTATTTTACGATTAAGATTCACATTATAACAAAAATACTTTAATAAATTATTTATACAGGGTGTCCCAGAAATAAGTGCAAATATTTTAACTGGTAGTATAGTTCAACCCCAGAAACACGCCTATGAGGTTTTTTTGCGAAAAAAAAATGTTGAGAAATTTAAAATTTTTCTTGACATTTTCCGGGAAATTTGAAAAAACTTTTTAGTGCCACTTGTTTATTCACCTGAGATTTCTCTACGGTGTATCTAAACCTTGCAGTGTTGCAACCTCCTATGTTATCCACATTCTACATAGTTCTACATTTATAAATTCATAGACAAATTTCTACTCAAAAATTAGGAATGTTAAATTTAATCTTTTATCAGTGCTCATTATTAATAATTATTATAGAAAAAAAAACATTAATTATTTTTAGTACTTACCCTTTCAATGAAAACTTAACAAAAACCACCGAAAATTAACTAAAAGGCTGAAACATTACGTTTATGACGTTTACGAAAATGATTCATCATATTATTCACAACCAGGTCACAAAAAAGACATTCCTAAAATGTTTATCGTAATTTAGAATTCAATATATCGAAAACAGCCCAACGAATAATCGATTAATTTCTGTTTTGTTTGTTTTCTTTCATGTTTCTCTGTTTTATTTCAACCACTGATTTACAAAACACCTTGAAAAGCGCACATTACTTTAAATACCGTCTCTTATCGCCACTTTACAAACTACTTTCAATCTAAGAAAATACATGTTTCACTCAACAATTTTAAATACGTATTTTGTTTTTTCGCTATTTTTTCGATGTATTTCGACAGACCAACTGTCGCGCGTCGGCCAAGAGTGCCACGTGTGAACTGGTCCTTTGAGCCGCGCCGTCGTGGCGGGCTTGCGTCAGACGATGATGTTAAGCAACGTTACCGTAGTTACAACAATTTAAAATTCAAGACATTCGAAGCAATCAAATTCGTATTAAATTTTAAAAATAAAACAGAAAAACATGAAAGGAAACAAACAAAACAAAAATGAATTGATTATTCGTCGGGCTGTTTTCGATATATTGAATTCTGAATTACGATAAACATTTTAGAAATTTCTTTTTTGTGACCTTATCGATAATCAATTCATTTATGTTTTGTTTGTTTCCTTTCATGTTTTTCTGTTTTATTTTTAAAATTTAATAAGAATTTGATTGCTTCGAGTATTACAGTTGAGGGTTGGAACCTTTGGTGTTACACAGCAAAATAAAAACACTAAATCACCACAATACACCAAAACACTTTTACTTTTACACTGAAAAGTAAAAGTGTAAAAGTAAAAGTGTTTTGGTGTATTGTGGTGATTTAGTGTTTTTATTTTGCTTCGAGTGTCTTCAATTTGAAATTGTTGAAACTACTGCAACCTCGCATGACGCAAGCTCGACACGCCGGCGCGACAAAGGAGCAGTGAGCAGTTACCAACCAGTGATGCGCGACTGTCTTGACCGACGGTTGGGCTGTAGACGGAATTGTCGAAATACATCGAAAAAATAGCGAAAAAACAAAATACGTATTTAAAATTGTTGAGTGAAACATGTATTTTCTTAGATTGAAAGTAGTTCGTAAAGTGGCGGTAAGAGACAATAATTCTCAACATTTATTAATTCAGAAAGGTATTCACAGTAGTATGTAATGTGTGCTTTTCAAGGTGTTTTGTAAATCAGTGGTTCAAATTGTGATGAAGCCTATATGAAAATAATGTGTTAAGTTAAAAATGGGGAGTGTTATTTTAGCAGATTTTATAATAGCATGTACAAGTAAAGCAGCAAAATGAAGTGTATTTTAGTTAAGTGTGTATCGAAAAAGAGAACTGTCGCAGTTACATCGATCTGTCATAAGTATCTTTTTTAATGTTGGGTAAGTTTTTTAATTTAACTTTTTTAACTTTTAAACATTTAACTTTTAATTCATTTTATGTAATAATATAACAATCTTATAAATGTAATGCATCTCTGCAAACTCCTCAGGTGTTGTGATTTTATGACTTACTTTTAAACAAATACTTTCTTGTCCATATGGCAACACAGTGCGTCGAATTAACTGAAATCCGGGCTTGATCCGGGAAATTGGATGTAGTTGGCAATATCTGCCGGCGGTTCTCAAAATGTTGCGATTATTTTTTTAAATTTTCAAAGTTAAATAACTCGGTTATTTTCAATTTATTTTAAAAATGGTAAAGAGAAAATATGTTTATTTTGACCAGATCTACCACCCCTTAAAATATCTGCACTCATTTCTGGGACACCCTGTATAGTTAATTAATTTTTTTTTTTATTATTTTTTTTCAGGTCAGTAGTGCCAACAACATTCTTCTGCTTCACCTGGGAGTGTTAAATATTCCATTCGGTATATTATTTCTGGTTTTTTGCATCCCTGGTATAAAAGGTGAGCCACTAAACTAACATATATTTGTCTAGAATGTATTTCTACATAGGATATATTTCAGAAACACAATGGGCAATTGCAGGAGCACCTTGTACAACAACTGGTTTCCTATTCACTCTAGTACATCCTTTACTTCTTTGGACTATATGTGGTCTCAACTGCGATCGTTACTATGCCATCGCCACACCACTCCACTATACCAATATCATCAGCACACAGAGAGTAAGTAAGACTTAATGTTATACATTGGTTTGGTTTGGGGTTTTTAATTAATTTTAATTAAAAATTAATTTTAAAAATACATATATGTATTTTAGATGTTTTAATAATATGAATTAGTGGTTATTATTATATTTGTGGTTAAGTAAATGGTTATCGAACTCAAACTATGGTGTGAGAAAATTAAATTGTTAAAAGTTTTACACGTGCAAATTTAAAAAAAAAGTTAACGATGTTTGTATTTTGTTTATGCTAATTCTCTTACATGTAGTTTTTTGCAAAGAAATATTTTATTTATTTTTTAAAGTAAATGCCAGTAAAAGTAAATATTATTTTTAAATAGCAATTTAAAGTACCTAATATAAATAATTTTGATTTCTAATTTTTTATTTATATTTTCCTTCCATTACACTGCATGCTTAGAAAATTAATAAATGTTTATATTTCATGATTTTAAAATTTGTTGTTAATATAACAAATTAGTTCAGTAATTATTATTATTTAATAAACCAACGTTGCCAAAAAATGTAGAGACCATTATTTTTAAATAGTATCTAATATAAATAATTTTGACTTTTAATTTGTTGTTTATATTTTGCTAATACTTAAAAAAAATATATTAAATGATTTTAAATTTTGTTGTTAATAGGTACAACAGTTTTATTTATTACTGTTATTATTATTTTTTTTAATAAACCAGTCTTTGCTTAAAAATATTAAAAATAATTTTCCTACATCCAAAATAAAAAGTATTATTGCAGTGTAACAACAGAATATTAATAAAAAAAAATGCAAAACATATAGACATACAATCCCTAACTAACTAAAGCCAAAAAATAATATTCTTTGCTAATATCAACTAATACCAATATATGGCAACAGCGCCCTTAATAATGTATTTTTTAATGTTAATAATGTGATTTGGTTGATTTAAATTTTAACCATTTCCAATAGTTGGGCAAAAAAATGAATTATATCATATAGGATGGCTCATTAGTGCGAGGAAATCTAATATCATCGTTGTTGACAAAGATACTATGAAAGAAAGTTTTATACAGATGTTGCATAGTTTATAAAAGGGCATTTACCAAAAATATTTTGTTTGTAACAAAATAAAGTTAGGATAAAATTTTAAGTTTTTTTTAAATTCAATCACCCATTTTTCTGTAGACAATTGGATTCAGCATAAAATTCTGCATATAGTACGCTATTTTTATTTTCAGCACTATGCAGTGTTGCTATTCTGCTTCTTATGTACTGAAATTTTGTTAAACTTTAACTTTATTAATAATTAGCTATATTTTCCTAAACATTAAGGATAACAGAATGAACACGCGAAGGAAAATTTACATTACCTTATACAAGGTAATTTTCATGGTGTCATGTCGCCAGCCCCCCACCGCAATATTTAAAATATTATATCTCAATGTTTTTAAATGCAACACCCTGTATATTATTTGCATTTTGAAGCAGAATTAAAAAGTGAAAAGTTTTTGTATTAGTGTATTATAAATTTTTAACGGTTTCGCAGATTTTACGAATTAAAGTTGATATATTTATACAGGGTGGACCAAACTATATTCCGGAAACTTCGGCAGAAAAAAATAAGTAAAAAAGTTTGTATAAATGTATATCCTAAAATACTTAGTTTCGGAGATTACAGGGTATAGAAGTTTCATTTTTATTCCGATTTTTTTCAAATAATTTCTGAAGTAAAGTCAATATTTGGATGAAAATTGGTATCTGGAAGTTTTTTGACATGAGAAATTTGATTTTGATGTCAATATGACTCATAGACTAATGTCACGTACTAGAGATAGATTGGACACTGATATAAAACAAATGGGTCCGTCATTTAGAGCCACCTGGTGATCCGGAAGAAACTAATGGAGAGTTTTGGCATAACATAATTTTAGCGTTCCGTTACTTATTAACGCTAATTAAAACGGTAACGTTATTCAAGCGCATAATTATTCCTTGTAAAATATAAAATAATAAATATAGACTTTTTTACTGCCCATTTTATGTTTTATTAGATCATTAGAAGTGTAACATAATTACAACAAAATTAAAATTATAAATACATACATTTTAAACACCAACAATAGATCACATAGCGCCTATTTTTTTTTGATTTAACAACTAGATTATACTAATTAACTGTTACTAAAAATACTATATATTACCAACTATGTACTTACTTATTTATTATTAAACTATTTTTTTATTTGGTTTATAAATTATTATTTCTAAAATGTCAAAATGAGTTTAATAATAAAAAGTTTAGTATCTAACACGAAAATGATGGTCGACTGTAAGTATCAGAATGCACAAACTAATAAAAACACAAACTATAAACACAAATCACTGAACTTTCCGACAAATCAGGAATATCTGAATTAATAATTATTTAAATAATGATTTAAAAATAACTTGACGGATCACCAACATTTTGTCAACTAGACAAAAACTAGACCATAGACAGTAGTTAACATAGAGACTGTCATGTCATCTTCATAATATAAATTAGAAACCTGTACTTTAATGTCTTTTGCGCCGTCTGGCGATGCGGAAGAAACTAAATTTGTAGTTCTATAAAATTACCATTGAGTGTCTAGGGCATGATATGACTCCTACTTGTAGAGGGTGCCACCTACATATTTTTAACTGGTTTGAAGAGTAATAACTTTTCGTCTGTACCTGTATAAAACTACAGAGTAAAAAAAGACGTTTTTTACGTAGAAAAAGGCTTCTTGGTAAAAATCGCTACGAGTAATAGTTCTCAAGATATTTGGAATCTAAATTATCAATAATACCTTATTTATCAATAAATGTTGACTAAATAGTTATTATACTGAAATCATAAATATGAAATGTTTTTGTGCCAAAAGTTCAACAGGAACTGTTTTATCGTCATTCTTTCGAAGAAAAATTTATTTTTAATTTAAGTAAAATAAAGGGTTCCCAAATTTATCATTTCAGTCAAATAATCTATCTACTCAACTTGTTTATTTTTTGCCAATAATGATATGTATTGACTATTTACATTCTAAATAACTTGACAACGGCTGTTTTTGATTTTTACCAAGAGACATTTTTTACGTAAAAAATCACAAAAATGTATATTTTTCTACTCAGTGGTGTTATACAAGTATGGGCGAAAAAAAAAAAAAAAGTTAAAATTATTCTTCAAAACAGTTAAAACACATGTAGGTTAGGTGGCCAAGGTGGCGCCCCCTTACAAATAGGGGTTATATTGACATCAAAATCAAACTTCACATGTCAAAAAACTCCTAGACATCAATTTTCATCTAAATATTGATGTTACTTCTGAAATTATTTGGAAAAAGATCAAAATAAAAGTGAAACTTCTACACCCTGTATCTCCGAAACGCCGCATTTTAGGACATATATTTATACGAACTTTTTTACTTATTTTTATATGCAGAATGTTCTGCTTAAGTTTCCGGAATAGAGTTTGGACCACCCTGTATACCTACAGTTTTCTTAGAAAATCAAGGAAATAGGTAAAAATAAAAAAATATAACATTTTAAACTAGACCAAAAAATTTTCTGTTGCCTTTTTTCAGAATGTAAAAATATAGATGTTTAATAAGTCTAATATTAGTATATTATTGATAGTATTAGTATATTAATATATTATGGTACGTATACATTGGTGCGATGTGGCGCGAACGCGCAGCGCGCGCAGAGCTTTGGCCGCGCGTTACTTTTATTGTTTTAACGAACATCCCGCGATCCATAGAAATCACGCGAATATTCGTTTCGTCGTTAATCATGTCTCTATCGTCCGAGAAGAACTACGCAATTTTAGTGATGAGTAGTGCGACTCTTTAAACACTCCATTAATACATGTAGTTTTACATGAGATCCAAAAACATTTTGTATCGATAGAACTGCGTTGCAAGATTTTGCATTTTTTACACGTTTTTGACAGCTTTACTTTTTCAAATAAAACCTATACTGCACGAGATATCATTTTTATCGATTGTCCCGATTTAAATCTATCGATAGATCTCCCCGTGCCACGCGCTGTCTATTCTCAGCCGTTCGTCGAAAACAGATCTTATCTGTCCGAAATCATATTTCACACTTTCCTTCTCTCTTTCGCGTGCACATTTGCCTCATTTCCATATTTCGCAGCGAGCTGGCAGCGAGTTTAGAGTGCCACCGGCCTGGCGGAAAATTCGCGTCAAATCGCCCGAAATCGTGCAAGATAAAGGGGTTGAAGGGGTGGGGGGATGAAAGCGAATCAACGACTGAGCTAGTTTATTTCCCGGAGAAAATGAGGGTGGCTTAAGCGCGATCCGTTTTATTAAGAAGATATATTTTATGCTGATTTCATTTCTACAAATTTTGACATAAGATATGAATTCGCACGGTTCACTGCACCTTCCTTGGTGCATTCTATGAAAGCTTCTGATCAGGGTTGGGCGTCGATACATCGACTTTTATTCTTGACCTCGACATGTCGACAATAAATTGAAACTGTATGCTGTAAAACTGCTATGAAAAAATACATTTAAATACAACGGAAATCAATAATAGTTGTACAGGGTGCATGGGTCAAATTCGACGTTTTTAATGGAAACACCCTTTTCTATAGGAAATAGACAAAAACTAATATCGGTGTCTGGAGCTCAATTTTTGTCAAAAACATGATGGTGAAAACCGCTTATCGATATCTGTCACCGTTTCGGAGTTACGGGGTGTTTTTCAAAAATATGCATTTTTAACAAATCGCTGTAACTTTTTTGGTATGGAAAATTTTGTATTTTTATGAAAACATTTCTAAAGCACCTTTTTACGTAGAATTTAATGGTTTAAGTATAATTTTTTTTAAATTAATAATTTATGAATTATCAGCAGATTTAATTAATTTGATTTCTTATATGCGACACCCTGTATATTTTTAATTTATTGAAAAGAATTTAAAATTACCTTTCCAAAAATATAACACACTTGATATTTTCCTCGATTCC